AACTTGGGAACCCCGGACTCAGATAGCAGCAATGTGTTGCTGGCAATGAAAAGGCCAGAATGTTAAGATTGTTTTCCTGGAATCACAGCTAGTTACAAAGCTGAGGCTAGCCCAGGCGGTTTTGAGTCCCTTTGTAACTTATAGAGCTGGTTTCCTTTATAAACCAAGGCTTTTTAATATGGATTGGAAGCTCAACTTTTCTGCTTCCTAGTTGTATGAACACAGGCTCTTTCATCTTCCTGAAGCTGAATTCGAAGAGTAAGCTCAGCATTAAGGCTAAGAGTGTGTCTGACTTATTGATTCATCTCCTGAATGTCGTGAGACCTGCAAACAAGCTATTTTCCACTCTGGGGTTTAGTTTTCAAGTCTGTAAAATGGAGATAAATAATTGTGCTTATTTCATAGGATTGGAATAAGAAACAGTATATATAAACACTGTAGCAATTCCTAGCATTTAATAGGGTCAAACAATAAATGTTATTTACTAATGCTGTTGAGTTATTTTCTTACTGGTAAAAAATAAAGATAATAATGAGAAACTCACTGCATCATCAAGAAGAGGAATTCAGGGATCAAAAACAAAAAACAAAAAACAACAGTACCAGCCACACAGCAGGCATACAATGAACAACAGCAGCTACTATTAATAGGATTTAGATTTCGAGGTCTGATCGAGCTTTCATTCCTTTTCCAAATAAACATCCAGAATGTTGCAGACCCATTCCGTTTGTACATTCTCCCATACTCGTAATACAGAAGATGGATGGATATTTTTACACAAAAATGTGTTTTGCCTTTACGGAGGGTGTGTTGAACTAAACGAAAAGTGATCAGTGTTACCACATACGAAATAAGAATGAGGTTGTGTACATGTGTCATATAAAGTGTACATGTGCAAAGAACGTAAATATCCATAGCATGATTGTTATGGCGGCCTAGCAAACCCAGATCCCAGAATCGTGTGGAACCTTTGAGGTCTGAGCTGCACAATCCATAGCCGTGTTTCCCGAGGCCATCAGTGGGTGTGTCCCAGTCAAAACAAGTTCCCTTTAGTGCACCCCGATATTACACTGAAGCATCACGCAAGTCCGCAGCTAGTCCTTAACAGCAACCCTAAAGGCCATATTGGAATGATCCCCTTTTTACAGATGTTGAGCAGATGACGACATGGGTTGGTGGGGTCTCCCACCGTGAGTTCACACACAGCCCAATATCCTGCTTGCCCTGCATAGACCCTGCTGTATTATTTAGGGTTTCCACTCCAGACTGTTGAAAAGGAGGGACACTGAAGTGGTCTTTCTTTGTGCTGGGGAGACTGGACAAGGCTTTTCAGTCCGCTTCATGCAAGTCTGATGGGGGTGCGCTGTATTTCCGCGCTGGCTCTGCAGGCCTGGAGGGCCGGCTACTGGGATTTTCTGCGGCAAATCATTCACTTTCAAAAAGTCATGCTGTTGAGTATCTATGTAAAACAGCATTTGTTTGTTTATAATGATCTCCAGTCATATTTTTTTTTAGGATTTCTCTTTGGGTTAACATTTTGACTTCATTCTATCTCAATAATCATATTGAATCAGCCTTATGAAGATTGCCCAATATTTTCTTTATCTCTCTCTCTCAAAAAATCCATATATATTGGCGTCCAGTCTTAAAAGTGAAACTGAATAACATACTTTCTAGATTCCTTGCCATTGACAATGGGTCTGGGAGCACTTTCAAAAGGAGGCATCGGTGATAAGAAAATGCAGTTGTGAGCAGATGGCAGGACCAGAAAATGGGAAGTTCAGGGATGTTTGAAGCCAGCAGACTGGAGACTCGTAGCTACCAGATCTAATGCCTTTGTTAATCTCCTGTCTGCTTCCCCTTCTGCTTAGTCACAGCTAATGGATGCACGGCAGGACTTAAATTAATGCCTCTGTCAAAGTAAGCAGACCTGGTCGACCAGCTGTCCTCTGCCAGCCGTGGTGACCGGAGGCACACATGGCATATGAGACAGGACTGCCTTCATTTAGCACTTGAACTGGAGAATCCTTTCTGCTGTGGACAAAGCCAAGTGACCTTGCGCAACACCCTAGATTCTTGGAGCCGCAGTCTTTGATCTGGGAAATGGGCACTGGCGTTCCTATCACTTATTTGGTCCAATAAGAAAGAACTTTAAGGCATAAGTGATCAGAAGAAGTAAGAGACATACTCAGAGCATTTCCCAACATGTGAGTGTGTCTGGATGTGTTTTTTAGGACAAATATGCATGTAAGTGCACATATATGCACATATGCAATATCCATATGGAAATACTGTAGGAAGATACATAAGAAATGATTGGATTCTGCGCAGTAGGGAACTTTATATGGTGTTTCCTTTGGTAATACTGAGATTTTTACCTTATCTGTATTCTAGTTTGAAAATCAAAATTAAGAGTATCTGCTTTATAAGGTGCTTGTGAGAGATCAAATGAGATGAAGTATGTGGGAATATCTAGATGCTTCAGAAACAGTGGATTCCTTCTGGCTCCACAGACTTGGGGAGTTCAACACCCCCCCCCCTTGTTGTGCACAAGCTCTGCCGGTCTTCCTACAACTGCACTGTCTTCTGATCTTACTATAATAGGAGAGATGAGAAATGGGAATGTATAGATTACCCTGCGTGTCTGGTGAACACAGATGTCCCCACCAACTGAATGTTCTGCTTGTGAAATGGGACGGTCTTTTGATGCCAGAGCTTGTTGACAGTTTCTCTTAAGTTCAGATCAGAAGGGACTTAACCATGCAAAGCCAGGTTCAAGTTGAGGCACTGGGGGAGGGGAGGGAGCTGCTAAGGGTTTCTCCAGTCAGCTCTGTGGGCCCAGTTTCCATCTTTAGGACTGATTAACTCACTGATTTGTCACACTGTCGAGGATGTTGGCAGCCAACAGCATACAGCCAAGTCCTTCTCAGGAGGTGACCCTCTCTGAGAGAACTGCTGACCAAGGTCACACCTCCTCCCTGGGGTGACCCACACCCAGTGACAGTCAGTGCCCGGGTGCAAAGACCTGGCCGCTGTCTCTGCAGGTCCAGAGTTCCTGTGAGACCGACTGAGGTCTCTGTGTGCCTACGTGACAGTGCAGTGTGGCTCTTCCCTCTGCCCCATCCCCCTCTCCCATGGGTGTTACTCCTGGGAGCACACCCCATGACCTTTCTGCAGGCCAGTCTTTGTCTTGCAGCCTTTTCCCCAGGGAACTGACCTAAGGCCACCTCAGGGCTCGGTGACAGCAGACCATCCAGGTTTCCTCATCTGTACCACTTTGCATCACGTGACCCAGTCATCACAATGCAATGATTCGTGTGTATGTATTACACCCATCATAGCCTTCCTTCCTGGCATGCTAGGAGCCCTGATGACATTCAGATGACAGCTGACCCCTGCCCCACTGGACCAGTTCAGTCCTCTTAGGTGTCAGCAAGGGATGAGAAAGGAAATGAACGAGGCAGGAGGCTGCCACATCAGCAGCTCCACAAGTCAACTCACAGACGCCAAGAGGATGGAGTGACACCAACATGCCACCTGGAGTTTCTTCTGCAGGACAGGCCTGGAAGCACGAGATTGTGAAGGGACATTTGCTTCCTCCTGTCACAGCCACATGAGCAGTTGGTTCCTGCATCCAGGGTTTCTCCAGCTCACCACTCAGTACCTCCCTTTTTCTGCCCAAGCCTATCCCTGTGAGGGTCCTTTTTTGGCTCTTCAAACAAATGCTTCCTGAAATTTACCCCCAAGACGTCCTTCTCTATTGGGCTTGAAAGAAAGTCATGACTGCCCTGGTCCTACTCCATCATGTCTGAGTCTCCAAATAAACTGTGGACTTAGGTATCTCCTCCTCATCAGACAAATTACATCTGTGTAATTCTGCTGGTGTAATGTGTCCTACAGCTACAAACAGAATACAATGACACTGCACCTTCACATTCACAGCCTCTTACAAATGCACTTTCAATATTGATTGTTTAAGCTCATAGCATCAGTCCTATTTTACAGCAAAGCGTTTTTCTCCTTCTCAGCACTATCCATCCACCAATACAAGAGTCTTCCTAAATTCCTCATTTCTCTGTGAAAAGCAGTCCACCTCTGTCTGTCCCATGGCCTCTTCTTATAGTGGCAGGAGAAAGAGGCTTGTAAGTAGGCTATGTTCAGTTGTCCCAAACCTGTGAGGTCAGAGCCTTCTTCATCATCATCACCATCATCATCACCACCACCA